AGGGAAAGAATCTGAAATGAATCAAAGCAGCTGAAACGTTTCCTCCTTTCCGATACACATTGGCTGCAGGTGAAAACAAGGGGGAAGAGCAGATCTACATTCTCCTCTCTAGCTAGTGGATAATTTTAAAAATTTAGATTTTATTTGCTATTAATTTAAAAAAACCAGCAAAAAAACTGTATGATTTTCCTTGGGTCTTTTGCTCAGATACCCCCTACAAGTGACAGAGATACATATAGTGTCAGGTGGAAACTCCGCATTAGTCTGCACAGCAGTATACTAAATCCCCCTGCAAAAAAATACTGCAGCTAGTACAGTAATAACCAAGCCATCACACAATTCACTTTTTAACTGGCAGACACATTATGATCACAAAGTGTTGTATACACACACATACAAAAAAACCCAACCCAGACTTTGGAAGCAAGCTCAGTTCCACGTCAGCAGAGCGTACACAGAGGTAGGAACAGCGACGCGAGCAGCCCGCAGGACAGGGCATCTGCGGGGTTGCCTTGCTCGGGCTCCGTCCTTACCACCTCCGAGCTGAGTGCGGTGCTGGAGGGAGCAATGCCTTGGTCGTCTTGAGAGGGAGCCAAACGCTGCGAGCGCAGCCGGGAAGCGGAAAAATAAGGCAAAGGAAGGGAAGGAGGAGAATATCCCTTCCTTCGACATCAGGAGGCCAAAGTCCACAGCCCAAGGGCACAAAAGCCGACTCCCTGCATCACTGTGTCCAGTACGGAAATACAAAGATGTCCAGGCGATGGACAATGCAGAGAAGGGACGGACGAGCTGTAGCGTTAACATGGGGCGGAGGGGAAAGGTGTGGGGCAGGGGGGATAGCAGAACGAGCCCTGAAGGATGAGGAAGAGGGGGAAACAAACCGTGCAAGCACATTTTCCATTACCAAAAATGGCAGCGAACAAGTGAAGGTAATGTTATGCACCCTTGATTCCAAAATTAAAATCATCACATGTTGCAAATCAAGTGAAGAGCAGTTTTAGGTACACCAGTGTATATAAAGAACAGTACATACCCTGACCCTTGTGGTTAACTTCTTTAGCAGCAATCACTTTGTTTATAACAGTCTGAAGGAAATCATTCTCCCCTGCCACCCTGGGTGAAAAACGGGATGATATGTTCAGCTGCTTGTGTCGAATGGCGTCATCCAACGCTAGCCTGGAGGATGCACATGACGACCAACACCAGGAAACAAAGGGTCACAGAAAACCAGAAGTCACAGTAACAAGGGAACACAAAAGATCATATCATAGTTGTGACAAAGAGTATTTATTAGTCAACGCAAGACAAAGGACAGGAAAGGTAACAAGAAAGACAGAGGAAGATCATTAATCAGAAGAATGCTGATCTGCCACAGAGAAGTACAGCACACCTGCGTTGCTACTTCTCCCTTCGGGGTCATACATGCACACACAGGCCCCAGTAACACTTTGTGAGAGTCGAAAGGATGTCTCCCACCTGAGAATCCCCCGGTGAGCAGTGAAACCCTATACAGGCAGTTTTCTTTTTAATATATGCAGCAGGAAGGCCCTGCAACACCTCCAGGGTCACTTCTGTCATTCTATAGGTTAAGCAGTAGTGCAAACTGTCTGAAGGAAAAGCTACCGTAAACCTCACAGAAATGGCAGAGAAGAAGAAAAGCAGATAAACCAAATGTTCTGTTAAACTTGATGAATAAATGAAAAGATGGAAACTATAAATAAACAGCAGCATTAAATGTCATTTAGGTAATCTTGCCAAGTGCTTTTGACAGCCATTGTGTTGGTGGCTAGTGAATGAATACAAACAAACAAAGATATGAAAACAGAATTGCGTGTGGTACAACAGAAGCAAAGCGTGGAATGAGAAGAAAAATGTGGCTCATATGTACAGCCTAAGTCTACATTGGAAATAATGACACCAGCATTCATTGTGTGTTTTCACATTATTCATGTTCTTCGGAATATACTTTTTCAGAAGAATGTTTTAATTTAGTGTGGAAAAAAAAAAATCACATTGTACATCTTTTCAAAAAGCTGATTTATATAGATACAGAAAAAATAAATCAGTGTTAATGGAGCAGAAAACTAGATGTTCCATTAGCATCCACTTTGATACACAAAGATTCATTTTCATTGCATGCTTCCACACTAAAAAATAAGCTTGCTATTGTTTACCACACAATAAACATATCATGAATGCACTCTTCCCTAAAACCCCCTGTTTTCCTTGAAAAATGGAATTGTACTTCTGATTTTCACATTAACAACCGCTACAGCACTCCAGCGACGCTGCTGCATACAAAGGAAACCGTTTCAGACGTGAGGCATACACCTGCTCGGCTCCCTGTAGCACCTGTACACCTTGTGCTCCTCACAGTAGCCCTGCATCTTCAAACCACAAGGGCTTCCTGAATTAAGCTTATTTTCCAAAATCAAGTGAATTTGAGATTACATTATTTCCAGGCTGTTGTGGTTTTTTTTAATATTGTTAAAAATCCTCTGAATATCCATTAGTACGTTAATCAAGGAATTTAGCTAACGTGTTTTGCCTTTTTGAACAGACGGCGGTCTAACATTTCACACAATGGGAAAACTAAGTGTTCGTATTTTACGCACATTTGACTTATCCCTTCTACCTTTCCCCACTTCATGGAATTACAAAAAACACCCTATGAACTATGGAGGGAACAGAGTATTTGCCACACATTCTCTTTTTGTTAATAAGCTTTGACTTCTAAAGGCACTTTCTCTGCACACATCTACGTATTCACAAAAATTCAGGCTATTAAATCCATACTTCTTAATATGATTTTGTGGCTTGAAGTCAAAACTGATCTTCGATATTACATTATATTCATACATGTCCATACTTTAAAGGATACCAACTCCATATTTGCTATTAGCTAGTTTAGTTATTGTAAAGTAGTATCTGTCAAACTCCATGTCAGCAACCTTAGAGTCAGTGTGCAAGGTTTGCAGTTTTAGATGGGTAAAAGTAAGACCAGGTCCACGTAGCAGACCGGTCTCCTTGATCCCATGAACCAGCTATAACAGGTATGTGCAGCAGCAACATCCTCCCCCTTAATATCCAACCAAAATACCTAAGGTTTCTGGTAAAAGTCTCACGTGATAAAGTTGAATTATGAGAAGATATTGCAGGAGGTATATCATGAGATACTCTTGTTTGTACTCCAATTACTGTGGCCCCTACTATGAAATTATGTCTGCTACCAAGAAGAAGATAAATGTTATCGTTTATTAATTGCACAGAAGTCACCTGCAGCAGATGTTGGTAACACTGCTGGTCTCTACCAGGCTCAGGCAGAGCTGAACCAGCAATGTACTTATTTTAAGCATTTCACCTCTTACACATTATCACTCTGACACCTTTAAACAAAACAAGATGGCAAAAATGGCAATGCATGCTTTAAACTCGACTTAAAAAAAAAAGCTTCTGGGGCTATCACTATTTTAACTAATGGGTAATTATCAAAAATAACTAAGTACCACTCAAGATAAAATATCACACTGAAATAAATTAACTTCAGAGTATCTACAGAACATTTCTTCCAATCAATAGTTTAAAACTTTTTCTGTTTTGGTTTTTTGGTTGGTCGGTTGGTTTGTGGGGGTTTTTCTAACAAAAGTTAAAAATCTTAATTCTTTCACTTCTGGTTATTCTTTAAACTATTCCCTACTTACGGTTGAAATGGTATGAAGTGCTGTTTGTCCTCATCGTCAACTTTTCCGTTAATTATGTCAGTAACATCCATTACTGAAAACAAAAACAAAGTGTACTGAATTAAGTGATCAAGACGGGAACAGGGGTGCTGAGGGAATTCCCTGGCAGGCGGGAAGCAATGGTGACTCAGAAGAGGGATGGAGTTAGCAACTGCGCAATTCCAGAGTTTTCCTATAGAATAACATCATCTTGCAAATAACCTTTGTTATTTCTAGCTAATGCAAGTCCTGGAAGCTACAGTAAATTCTACGATACAGCAGCCTCATTAAATTTGGAACAATTTTGAATTTCACACACTCAATTTTCTAAGAATATAACATGACATAGATACAGCGCACAGAGAGTTACCTGCTACTCCAAAAGGTCGCCGCAGCCCAGAAGTTAGTTTCCTTGTGTTGTTGTCCCTCAGCTCCATTCTGCCCACTCGCACGATCTGACAGACGAAACTGATTTTCTCTCTTTTCAGATCTTTGCTGCCCAGGTCCTAGAAATAGTATTTTCTTCAGATTACTTTATAATAATGGAATTTCAAGTTCCGTGTTAGCAGGCAGAAGGTTTGCTGCTCAGAATTTGCCTTCACCGCGCCAGCTCCAGCACCAGGGCAAATTGTTCTCAGAGTAAAGGAATTTTTGTAACAGTACTCAAACGTCTTCTCTTGACTTTTGTGTAAATCAATTGCTCAGGAGGCCACACCATTTCTAGTAAGTTAAAACTTCAAAGAGCAACTTCGGTTTTAGCCAGGTGTCGGGAATATTTAGTAGTCACGAGAAACGTCTCATGTGAGCCTTCCCCAAGATCACTACCTGCAGCGGTAACTCCACACTGTTTACGTACAGATCATTACATTCCTCAGTTATTCACAAGCTCTGAAACAAGTGCTATAAAACTCGCCAGCTGAACCTAGCCCACACACTTACGGTGAATACTGCTCGAAGGTTATGCAATCTGTCTATATCTTTGGGGAGTCCACAGCTCGACCATCGCACCAAGTAGTTCTCACTGAAAGAAAATATTTTGAGAACTTTCTGTTTAAATGGCTTCCCTTCAAAAAAGCAGCTAAAAATCAACTTCAGAATTTACAGAAGACTATTTTAAACCCAACCTTTGCTGAGGAACAGCACGACCTTGAAATGTCCCCAAGGTGAAGAGACTTCCCTGACACTGTGCTGAACACAACGATGAAGTGCTGCTGCACCATTGTGTCCCAGATGACCCTTTCCTACGCCCTCCACAGAAATTTGACTTTCATAAGCCCTCTCATTTTGCAAAACTACCTCACTGCTAAAGCCGAGTAAACACAGATTAGGGAGTACACTAACCTGATGAATTTTGATTCCAGTGGATCATACAGAGACATCAGGACTTCAGCATCTTCTCCTATTTTACAGACTACATTTTTTAAATTTACAAACAAAGCAAATGAAGGAGTGGCAGCAAACTTGGCTTGTCTGTTGATATCAATATTCTGTTTCTGAGACTGTAATTCAAGAACAAAAGAAACTTAAGTTTAACTTAGCCTAACAAATATCCAACCACTGTAAAACTTTCCTAAAACCTCTCAGACAGAGGAAGAGGGGTTTTCTGTTGAGCATCTACTCCTGTGATCTTTGTTTGTATTAGGATTTATGACAGACTGCATTTTCTGGATTTGTCTTGAAGAAAAAAGACAAAAGGGATGTCTTCATTAAAAAGAGAGTTAAACAAATGGAGGAAAAGGTAGAGCCCCAAATATAACTGACAAAAAAAAGGCAGTTTGTTCTTTGTATTGTCTGATGTTTTTCTGACAGGTACTGAGTACCAAAAAAAGACAGGAGAGAACACAGTGCAATTTCTACAGTTACCTACCCCTTGGAGTTTAGCTACCATAAACCTTCCACAAGCTACTTTGTCTACACAGAAGGGAGGAATGCATACGGGACAAAAAGGAAACGGCTGAGGCAGGGACAAAGAATGAACTCTGGATGCAAAAATTTAATACTTTAAAACCCGTCTAAACTAGTGTATTTTTACACCAAGTTTAGTAAGGGCTGCAAGCGTGTGTAAGGCCCATTACAACTCAACGGGAAGCAGTAACTCATTAAGCCGCACTAATGCACTCATGAGCGACTCCTCAGGAATACCATGCTCCACTAACTGCTGCTGACACAGGCAGGACTCCTTACAATGGAAATGTTCTTCCTTTGAAAAATAAGGGTTTGAGTTGCAAAGAAGCTGAATATTCAAGCTTGAGAATGTCTTTAAATTTGCCCTCTGTATTTCATGGAATCCCAGACTGGTTTGGGTTGGAAGGGACCTCAAAGCCCATCTAGTTCCAACCCCCTGCCATGGGCAGGGACACCCTCCACTAGCCCAGGTTGCCCAAAGCCCCATCCAACCTGGCCTTGAACACTGCCAGGGAGCCAGGGGCAGCCACAGCTTCTCTGGGCACCCTGTGCCAGGGCCTCAGCACCCTCACAGGGAAGGATTTCTGCCTCCCATCCCATCTCCATCTCCCCTCCTTCAGCTTCAGGCCATTCCCCTTGGCCTGTCACTCTCTGCCCTTGTAAACCGTCCCTCTCCAGCTTTTGACAAACAAATTTTCAGGATTGGCCTACAGAAATCATACAAATATAGTGAGGACATTGTTCTACTTGATTCTTGAAAACAAACCCTCCTGACAACCTAACATATAAACCTGCTACATACGCATCTCTGCTATCAACCTACAAATGTAGTCATCTTAACCATAAATTTTACTAAGCCCTTTAAAGGATGAAAAAGACAATTAAACAGCCTAAGACATACAAGTTCTCAGAAAATGTTTAAGCTTGATAACTCAATAAACATATCAAATCCTGCATTACCAATGCTAAAAGTAACAGTCACTTAGTTAGTTTACACTCTTATGTTTCAAAGGGAAAAGCTACAGTGCATAGTACATCTTACTTTTTCCTCCTGCAGTCTCTCTTCAACTTGCTTGGAAGCTACTTCATGTGCTCTGAAAAGGCTAATCGTGCTGGTCTGCTCTGGGTCCAAAATGTTGCCATCTTCATCTCTAACGACCAGATCTAAATCAAGAATTCTAAACAAACAAACAAAAAAAATGCTTGTGAATTAACAGTGCTCAAAGAAATGCTTAAAAAACATCTGCCAAGTTTTATGATATAGTTATGCACACCTAAAATGTGATTTAAAAAAAAAATTTGCTATATGATAAAACAATTTTACATGTCACCAACCCCACAGCTAACCAGCCCTGACTGGAAGTTGCTTTTTCCCCACAGCACAGAAAAAAAATTATGTAAATAAAATAGCAGAACATCTAGGGAAGCAACTAAATTTGCAAGAGACTGTCTCCTCTTCTGATTCATCTGACAGTTTGAACAACCAACCACTAGAGTCACACCATGTGCAAATCAGTGAGATCACTGTATCCCACTCCACGTTCTCCCCCAAAGCAGGCATATTCATGTGTTTTACCAAAACACTACGAGATACAAGACAGCGTAAGCTGTGTCCCTTTATTCAAAGCAGAAGCTGGATTTCTGTCAGCAGGGAGTTAACATCCATGATTACCTTCTGCAGAGAGGAGCAGTTCTGCCATAATCAAACCCAGTCTTAGGAAAGACCTTTCACATTTTTTTGACGTTAGTACATGAAAAACAGAAACAGCAGAACCAAGGATAAAAACAAAACAAAAATATCAGGTCTAGGTTGATCCACGTTTCTCTACCTATCTTCCTTAAGACTGATCTCTTCACCTCTGCTTCAATACATGTGGTCTCTATTTTCTTCTTCTAACTCTGTAGTCACATCTCCTGATGGAGCTGCTGTAACTTTGGTTTTGAAATACATTTGATCAATGAGCTTAAATCAAACTTGCAGTGTCTGATAAGCCACACAGAGGCTGGTGGTTTATCTGAGAGCAAGTCCCCTTTGGACACAACCCGCAATTAGTTGACAAGAAGAGGAGGAGCTGTGGTAGACAAAGACATGTTTCGTGTACTTAGAGGATCCCTCCTTGCCCTCCCTGACAAGAGGGAAACCTGGTGGTGTAAAACAAAGCCTTGAGCAGAGTCAGTATAGAAACCCCTCCAATTAATTGCACTGTGTTAATTCAGAGGTGGATGAACATCTCACAGAGCACAGGCAGCAACTCATCAAGAAAAACCTCCTAAGCTCTTCTCTGCCAGTGGCCCTAGTCATCACGAAACTCTCTTAAGCATCCCTGGACCATCAAGCTCCCAGATGAGTTTTCTGATGAGAAAGTGGTTTTATCATTGAAACCAAACAAAAAAGCAGCCAAAATCATCTCGCTCCACCCGACTACTGTTTCCTGGACAGCAGCCACAGCAGGAGAGCGCACCACTGGCCACTCATCTCGTAACCACCAGCTCTGGAAGGACGAAAGCAGAGTCCTTCCGCAGAGGAAAAGGTAACTTGGAAATTCAGAGAAAAGATTAATCACTCGGCCTACTACACACCAACAGGACAGGAACGTTAGCACAGACTGTCAAACAAATAGAAGCAAACATTCCTTTGATTTAATTTCTTTGCTTTATTCTTTAAGTCGCAAATGACGCTTGGAAAGAAACTGAAATTTTTTCTTAAATGTCCCAGTTACAGATTTTTGCAACTGAACAAAAAAAATTTGTTTTCACAACAAAATTACCTGACCCAATTTCAGAATAACATTAAAAATTCAAATTCGTAAGACCATTTTTACCTCCTCAGTTATTTTGACAAGGTGCAGTGAAATGGTTGTCTTTATTTATAAAAGAAAAAATAATCTTATTTCCAAATCGGTGTTTCACAAACCAGGAAAAGCTAGGATATGATTAGATCAGGAAACATTTATAAAACACGTAATGAATTCATTCTGTCTGGATATTGAGATCATCGTTCTCAATGTGCTTATTTTAGACAAAAGTGAATGTACGACTACATTAGAAACATATGGTATCTTTCAGTTTGAGTATTTACTCAGAAGTTCAACTTCACTTCCCTCCTGTACTCCACAGAGGATGTTCTGATCACTTAATTAGTCCATCAGAACATTAGGAATACAAAGCATAGCACAAGATGTTCCACTGTATTTGAAAGCTGAGCATCTGGAGGTTGTTCGGAGTAACTTTAACCAACTCCTCAGCCAGATGGTAAAATACAGTAGCCAAACAAATAATATCAACAACATCTGGTTAATTGTCTGCTGAGGTACAACAGTCCATATCTTGGATTATAAATGCTAATTAATGACTGAATGCAGTTACCGATAATTTTTTTTTTTGTTAAATCACAGCTTTTGCTGATAAAGTCCACGAACAAAAATACTGCAAATTTGGCAGTTCTTAAAAAATAAAACACAAATAGCTGAAATCTGATGAGTTATTTACATCACAAGGGATTTAAATGACCGGCTTGCTGAAAACTCTTCCAGTCCCCAGGTGTGCAGTACTACAACGCTGTCTCTCGGTATTCAAACACTGCTTCAAATAGTTTCCCCATTGAAAAGATATGATTTCTCATTTTCAATCAAAATGGAAAGTCATAACTGTATAGACAACTTGTAACCTAACAACTTGTATTTAAAAACAATTTGCTTAAATCCAGACCACTGTTTGCAGAGTTAATACGTCTGAATTAATAACATATCTCATCTATGCAACCTCTACTGCTGTCTTTTTTTCTTTTAGTAAATATTTCCTTCACAGTTTCCATTCTCTTCTGTTAAATAGAAACTTTATTTTATTAAATCTCTATGCTAATCTTCTGGTACAAACTGGATACTATATAAGTAGAGGAACAATGAGCTAAACTACGCTTTTGAGCCAAATCCTTCAACATGACATTACAGCTAAGTGACTTCAGGGCAGACGCAGCTGGTGGTGTTGAGAAGGCAACAACTGTTTATGCTGCAGAAGCAAGTGGAGTTTAAACTGTATTTTGAATGGAGGCAATACTTGCACTTTTCAATTGACCTTAAAAATTACAACTTCATACCAGTAACAAATTGATAATATCATCAAGCGAGAGCGTTGGATACACTTTACATATTGTAATTAGTACTATACTTTAAAGATGCTGAATCAACTTCATTCTTTATCTTGTTGTAACAGGACTGTTAATATACTGCTATTGCATCTCCACAAACATGGGAATATAAGAATCCTGCAAGAAGCTGTTGACAGTTCATGTGTATTACACAAGCTGATTTGGTTTTAAGAATAAGCAATGGGAAAATATTGTTCACAAACCTGTTGCCATAATCAATTTTGGCAGTCACTTTCTTTTTCAGTTCTTTGAGCTCATCTTGGGGTAGGGTCCCAGATAGTATTTGAGATCTCCACTCAATAAGATCATAGATCATGTGCCGTACGCTGCGAAACATTTCTCTGTTATCTTGCTGTTTGGAGGACAAAGAAGGGTAGAAGTTAGCTTTGAATCTACTGAGCATCTTTTAAATAAATATAATAAATTGCAATTGTAAAACACAAACTCAAAAGGGTAAGAGTCTACAATTAGCTCTAAAATAGGAGCCTAACTTCCTATAGCACAGAACACTGAATACAAAGAGTCTTACACTCTGCTTTAGCTGTCTAAACAAGTGTAAATGCCTGTGGTTACATTAACCTAAAGGCCAGGTCATACTGCATTCAGAACAGGCGTCCAAGGGAAAGATATTCTCTTCTTGGTTCACAGAGTAACTTTATTAGATGACCCTCTATAGCGAGTAGAGCAGGACTAAAATGGGTGCATTTTAATAGCAAGAGGCTCAAGTTCTGCAACACTCCATTTGCAACACATTAGAGAACCCTCTTCCCCGCTAGGTACGTCTTCAGAATAACACTTTACAACCCCTCAGCGTGCAAAGCCGAGGCATCAGCCTCTTACGAGCCCACAGGTAACACCTGAAGGAAAGTGAAAAACCAGGAAAGCACTAAACCGTATAGGAAGTTAAATACCTTAATTGTCTATAAAGACTGGAACTATGGATATTAAATAGTGCACTGCAGCACACACAAACTTTCCTTGGCAACATTCAGCTAAGCTAGGACACAGGAAGATAAAGTTCCGTACTTAGAACAGAAGAATTATCTTTTCTGGAGCATTTTCTATATGCATGCCCACACATGCATGCATTCAGAGACAACAGATCAAATCTTTAATTACAAAACTGAATTTGACAGTTTCGGTTTAAACTGTGGACAGTGCATATACACAATCATTTTAGTACAAACAAACAATATTATGCAAAACTGAAGTTGCAGAACAACGGCCTTTCCATTTTTATTGTGAAAGATAATGTCAAGACAAAGACAAGGCAGAGGCCCTGAATGCTTTGATCTTACCCAGAAGCAGCCTCTCTTACTGTCTTCACAACCCTCAAAATCTAAGTCATTAATTCAATGCACTCTTTAAAAAGAATAGATCTTTCTCAACACCCTGCATCAATGAATTACTCAGGCTACACATAGCTATCTTTCATTCTGGCTGCACCCGGGCCTTATTTAACTGAAAACAACTGGAATAATTAAATAATTAAAATAAATTCTCTGCTATATATAAAAGACAATGGAAAGACTGCAGAAGGTGCAGAGCAGGAAAAGAATATAATGACTCAAAGACTCAGGGAAAAAATATCTAACTGTGAAACTTAAAGACTTCAGTCTGTTCAGATTATCAAAAAGCTGACTTGATTATAGTGTGAGAGCCTTCACAGAGAGAAAATACCCGTTATTAAAAGCTCTTTAATGTAGCAGAGGAAGACACAACAGGCACATATGGCTGGAAGCTAAATACAGACAGATCCAAATGGGAAAGAGGTTTGTGATTTTCGATGCTGCAGGCAATCATAAACTAGTGAGAAGAACATGCCACATCCTCTGCTACCTGCAAATCAAAACTGAATACCTATTCAATATTCAAACACAAATTACAAACTGAATAAAGGCACAAACGTTCCCTTTTAGTGACTTTGACATGCAAGATACGGACAACATGGAACATCTCTCTAGTCTGCAGACTGACCAGTTTGAAACCGGCTACTTCCAGTAAACCACATCTCCCATGAAAGGTGCACCAGCGCTCTCGTTGGCAGTTGACCACACGCAAGTAATCTAGCAGATATCCTTGAGATACACGCTATAAACACACTCACTAAGCAATCTATCTACTCAGACTAAAGCTGTAACAGGCACTGGAACCCTTCCTGCCACCAAACTGAGGCCACTGGTAACGTCACACCTTGCCTGTTCTTGAACTCCAAGCTGTTAGCAAAGCACCACAGTATTGTTTAGCTGTTCACGTGTCTTCAGAGAAGTACGGGCACAACAAACGAGATGTTAAACATTAATGGTTAGAACAAGTGATTCCCACACTAGGAGAATTTTATGATTTCCTAAAAATTACTGCAACAAAAAGCACATACGAGTCTTGGTAAGAAAACTTCTAACAACGCCTCTTGCTATTCCTCCTCTCTTACTACATGTGCACTGCAACTAAGTCTAACTAACACAGTATCGGATTTCACACTCAGGATGATCTCCAAAAAAAAAAAAGACATCCGGGTCCAAATGTAATCCTCGCTGTTGTCAGCGGCACACAGCAGTGGAACCAAGGGCAAAGCTGTTCTCAGGGCCCTCTTCAGATTCTGCTCCTCCTAGTTTGCTTCTGCCCGCCTACTTCTTGCTTGCTCCTCAACACATAACCTCTCTAGTATGACATCATGTTAAAGCGCTCTCAATATATAATCTGTTTCTCTTCATATAACATGTTATCCTTCACCTTACCTACTGCAACACTACATCACTTCCAGCATTCTGTATTTTTAATCTCTATTTTCAGGGATGTGAACATAAACCACATTAGTCAACACAAACATCTTCATTTCCAGTTAGTGTCTGCATTACACAGCTTGCATTTTTATAACAGAATATTTCAAACATAAGAAACAGAGGCTGTGCACTAAACCCTACTCTAAATATAAGACTTTCATGTTCCCATTATCTTGTTACAAGTGACCTTGCACAACAAGAGCATGAGAAGTCTGAGCTAGGGTACCTTAGATCCTACAGCACGCTGCGGCTTTACGTCTGAACTGCATTTTTAAGCATGCATTTCAACATTCTTTAGACCTTACTTAGAAATACTTTAATATGTGTAGTTTCATGGCTATTACATTTTTCTATTATCCCATCCAAGAGATTAGTACTATAATTTCTAAGAATATATTCTTACATGCTTGGAACTTAAGCATATGAAAATAATCAGGCATAGAACTTAAGGTCAGGATAAATTGAGACCAATCAACCTCAATTACAAGAATTCTGAGCGGCAAAAGGTGTACACTGGTAATTTTTTAAAGGTTTAAGTTTACACAAATTTGACATCAAATATTCAATTTTCTCGTAACATAGATAAGATACACATAGATAAACATAGATGAACAGCCTTAAAAACTGCCCTCAAGGCCATTTCCTTCATTTAACACAACTGTCTGCAGATTTGGAAAAATCTAATATGTATCTTAAAAATCTTATTCTGTATAACAGTGCCCCATGAAAAAGGGGTCATAATAGCTCAACAATTTGTTGCTAGATCAAAGTAACACTCTGTAAAAACCTGATTCTGCACAAGAAATACACAGTATTTGACAAAACACTCAAAAGAAACAGTACTGAGATCTGTGCCTTAACACAGATGTTAAATAGCTTTTCAGCATTAAAAGGAGCCTTTAGAAACAGTAACAGAAGTGGAATTCCAGTAATAGTTCCTTCATACCTCTCACTGTACCTTCATAGCACCACTCTTTTCTCAAACTGTGTGGTATTGTAAATATTTTCCTAAGTTGGTACTTACAACATATAATTGCCGCCATATTATAGACCATTCCCGCAGCGTAGTGGTAACCTCCTGAATCAAGGGGAGCTCGTTGGGTATCACTGTTTCATGTTGTCTTACGAGGAAAAAGAAAAAAGTTTGAATTAAGTAGTAGTTTTGGGTAGGATGGCAGAATCATTTCTAAGAAGGAACTGATCATTTCCAAAAACAATTCAATAAGGACAGGATAGAAAATAACATCACATGCTGCAAAGTTAGAAGTTAACAAAGAATGTACCATCAAATACGGGAGAAGTGATGTACACCAGTACATTCACACAATGTAAAGGGGACTTTGGTCAGCTGAGACTATGCTACTGAGCTCTCACTTTTTTTTTTTCCTTCTCCTTACTTCTATGCTCACAAGATAACGATATCACTACATACCTCACCATACCATTTATTATTGAGATACTCATTTTAGAAGAAGCAACCAAGATGAAAGCCAGACATGCACAACCTGCAATGCCAGGATACTAATGCATAATTGTTTTTCAAAATATTAGTCTAGCAAAGAAAAATTACACATTCAAGTCATTACCATTAAGTTTCTGTATGACTTGTTTTAAAATTACGTGCTACAAAAGTAAGGAACAACAGTTAGATCTTTTAATATTTCAGAAGTAGAGTACTTAAAGGCAGTTTTGTAATCAGCAAGAAAGATGTCATTATGCAGCAATCTCATGATTAGTGGTTTTAACATTTACATATTTAACAGTGTATAAAAATAAATCGGGCACAAAGGAATAAAATATTTTAATCCTGTTTCACTCCATTTCATACCTGGCTAATTATGTATTAATTTCACTCCACTTTTTTTTTTTCCTCTCTGCTCAGGGATTTGTTTGGGGATTTTTCCTGTTTAACTAAACTCTTGTATCAATGTTAGGAACTTTTACATGCATGTCCAGCGATGCTGATTTGATACATAAAGATCTGAACTTTAACAGCTATTAAATAACAAAACCCAGCCCAAACTATGCAGTGTCGCACACATCAGGCAAGGGAGCAGGAGAGTCACAAAATGAACAATTCTGCAGAACTTCAGGGTTAAGGCAGAAAACGATGCCTGGATAACGGCTCTCAGCAAGGACTCCAGTCTACAAGATTTATTGAAGAGGGAATTAAGAAATTACTTAAATGTCATCTGCATAAAAGAACAGTATCTCATACCAAAGGCCTCTCTTAACATACCAGGCAGAAGCCCTACAACTCATGGGCTGGAAGATCAAAGTAGCTGGGAAAACTGAAATTAGAACTAAAGCAGAGGGCAGGGAGTGGAGGAAGTTAATCTAGGTAATTATTAGTTGAGAGAACAATAAAAGTTATAAAGAAAAATGATAAATTATTAATTCTTCTGAAACATTTAGATTAATACAGAAAAGGTTATGCTTTAGCTCAACTATACGACAACGCAGCCAAGAACTGCAGTACTAGCCAGAAGCACTGCTGATGACAGCGCCTTCAAACTTGAGGCGAGTTACCAACCAGAAATATTTTAAAAAAAGAAACACACACATTTTCGTCATTAAGCAACTGGAAATGAGTGTAAGTTATCCAATAATACACCAAAATTATGCAGATACAAATCAGAAAATGGGTTTTCATTATTTTCAAATCAAACTTACCCTTTGCCTTCAACTATTGCTTCCTTAAGATGGATATAGGAGGCAGGAAAAATACCCTTTGAGAGGGAGGGAGAGGAAAAAAATGTTTTAAGTAACCAGGTGCATATAACATTTTATCTATTACCTAAAAGGACGCCAAGACACATTGCTGGGTCTGCAAAGCCATTCACATCCTCTTAAGTATCAGAATAGTTGTGTTGTGGTGTTTTGTTTTCTTTTTAACATACATTTACATTTTGTACGTCCTTTCAAGAAGGCGTTGTTGTAACCTTAGCAAACACAGACTCAGTGTTTTTAAACTTATCTTTACCGTATCAAAGAAAAGATCAGTGATGCCCTATCACAAGCAGCACTACAAAGGGCTGTTTCCTCCCCAGTTCAAGACACAGTTGGCCAACGATTCTCCACATCCCTGGATGACTATATACAGATACATATTAAAACTGACTTGCTTTTGACAGCATGAAAGACAGACGATTTTAAATAGATCTACTCCAAAATGACATTTTGCCTCTAATCCAGGTCTTGCTTTTGCTCACATCTAACCAAGATTTCTTACCCTACAATAAGATGTTGCTTCTGTTCCCAAAGCGTTTTCTCCAGTGTTTTCAGTCTACATAAACACTGTTTATTTTGTGCAGCGTACTGGGCTGCCTTGCTGGCAAATAAATGGGCATGTGTATGCGCAGAATGCACACACATCCTGCATTGCAACCCACAGCACACGGACTATACATAATGTAGTGTCTTCTACTGCCAACCTATCCTTACTTACAAGCCAAAAACCTCTTCAACCCTTCCTCCACCTCACCCTCTGAGGTAGTAGTTCAGTATTCTTATCATCTGGGAATGCAAAAAGAGAAACTTAGAAAGCTACAGAAACTGGGGGGTGAGAGGGGGATTCTTTTCATCCAAATAAAAAAATAAAAAAAAAATAAATAAAAAACCCCACTACATTTAGTGGCAGTCAGACAAATGCAGCAATACGTGGAATTAATTTAAGACAAGAAGAATGCATAATTGCTTCTTAGGCTGTACAAGGCATGCCCATGAAATACAGTTTGTAAGAAATTCAGTGTTTTTCCAAAAAAAGAAAATATCAAAATAGAATAGAAAAACCATACAACAGGCCTGGTTAGGAAATGGGTGGGACAAACCACACAACTCAGCTCTGCACTTTGAGACACGCAGGCACAACTCAAAATGCACCTCTGTAGGCAAACATTACATTTTAAGTGTTTTACTTTAAGTGAAAAAAGAAGCAAAACCAGAAGTCATTTAATTCTGGTTAATTACTACTATAAAATAAAATGCTAAAAAAACCCCCACAACACAATGTTATAAGCTGTATTTGTGCCGTTTCCTTTCTTTTTATTTCAGAAAGGCTGCTGTAAACAGCAGCCCTTTATGCACACTGAAAACCTAACAACTAGGCAAAATGACACTGCAGAAGATTACTCCTCCTCTCGCAGGGAACGACTGAAAAGCACAACGTAGATCTCTATCACTTTCCAAGATGCAATTGCATTTTATGAGTAATATGTTATTTAACAGACAGTGAAGCAAAGTGTCAGCCTCTAAACAGATCAACTAGGACATAAAGTTCTGAACTTTTTACTGAGGCAAAGGCTCTGGTACAGCAACTACCGCAGAAAAGAAGCTAATGTACATCAATCCATCCATAGTGACTGTACATACATATATCCTTAAATTGCAAAAATTAAATTGCAACTCAGCTTTTAGGCCTTGCTAAAATAAGTTTCAGTTAACTTGAAAAAAAAAAATCAAATCACGTTTACTACAGGCTGAGACCAGCACACCAGCAGTTATCAGAGATCAGTGGACACACAGCAAATTGCTCCCGTGCAGTACTGTAATGCGCGCTGGAGATCTCCGCTGTAACAACACGCCCGATGCCATAACACATCTCTGTCCAACAGAAAAAAAAAAAACAAGCACTCCGCTCCAGCAACACTTACCTTCTTGGATTTTTTTCGTAGTGTATAACCTCTGTACCAACCTAGGAGGGGAAAAAGGGAAAAGGCATTAAAAAGTTCATTCATGTCACCTAGCAGCTGTTCCTTCTCGGCTCAACGCACCTTAAGGTGGTTCACCCCTGCCAACGTGCACACACACACCCCGTCTGAATTTGCATTCCCTACAGAGTTAATATCCTGGCTAAAACAAGTCTTCTTGGCAGCTATAAAAACCAGAGTGGTGATGATGAAACTGATGGAGAAGACCACATGACAGAGACAGCAGTTTACATGATGCATTTAATTGTCGTTCATTTCACTTTAATTAGTAATTTACCAACATAAACAAAACCAACTTAAGTGCATTAACTTTACAATAATGTACTGTTTGATGAGTTTGATTTTAAAACCTATTTAAGTTCCACAAACGCAAGTTCTCAAAGCCATTTGATATCTCGGCAGAAAACCAGAATACTTTGAGATTTACGATTCACACATCGAACGAGAAAAGCAAGGAGCCCCAATTCAGCAAACACCCGCCCCGCAGCAGCCCCGATGCCGCGGGACCATTCAGCCTGGGCCGCTCTCCCAGGCAGGTGGCCATCCCTGGAAAACCGGGAGGCGATGTCTCATTTATTGTGCCCCCAGTTCACGACACATCTGCAAGCAATCACCATTACAGCTTTTAGTGTTTCTCCAGCCATTCCACTTCAGTGCAACCGGATAACCAAAGCAAAAACAAAGCCTTACAAACTACAGTCGTTTTGCCTCGTGGAAGACAGCCATGCCAGAGAAAGCAGATGAGATCTGTGCACATTGCCCTCAATTCAGCGCTAGCTTGCCTGCATGTTTGCACTGGCGCTATTTTGTATTTCAGTTTGTCTGTGCCATGGCTTGCTCCTTCCCACTCAGCACCCCAGGGAACCCCCTGGGTGACCAGCAAAGCATCTCTCCAGAGATCAGCATGGGTGAAGACAGGGGGGGAAAAAATCACAAAGACGCAGAAATAAAACTTACAGTCCCACTCCTGCTAACAACTAGGGCAGAAAGTTCAAGGAAGACAACACATGCTGATAAATTCATTATCCACACTCTGGGAGTAGAAATACAAATTAAAGTCTCAAGCACATGGGATGGTTCAGTCTGCTCTCCAGTAGCAAAGGGTAAAATGATTCTTCATCTTCACACTGTATCAGCAGTCTATCGTCCATGATCACTGCGGTATGGTTAGTGCTATGTTCTTTAATCCAGCCTCCGCTACCATCGCAGGTCACTTGCCTACAGCGGCTGCAGTGGCCTCACATCTCACATTTCTGCTGATTTCAGCAGAGTATCAACAAAAACCGTTGGTGAAATGACCCCGCACAGTTTCTGGCTCAGGTGCAAAGGCGGCAAAGCATTTCTGCTTGCACTTACTCCACAAGCTGAAATCTGTGCACAGATGTGTAGAGACTTCAATCCTATTGAAGAACTGAATTCCTTCAGTTTTATATGAATAAACCAACATTGTGAAGTTCTGGAGCCTAAACTGATAAACACCATAACTCTGATCAAACGCACTGTACAAACCAAAAGACATACAACCCAACCATAACATCTCCACCACCTCTCTTCTCCCATCCTATCTTCCATGCTGCTGCCTGACTCAGGACATCACCCTGTGCCTGCCAATTGAAAAGCCACGCAGCAAAGAAAGCTCCTCACCACTAAACCTCTTTCTGAAGCTTTGCAGCAAGAGCTACAAGAGACTGCAGATAAGAAAGCAGCCGAAATCTGCCTTGGAGAACTGCTTACGCTCCTGCTCATCCCAGAGGTCCTAACACAGCCACACAAATCTGGCCAGGCTCTTCACCGGCAGTCACCACCTCAACGTTTTTCTTGCTGGGTATCAGACCTGTAGGCATGCGCTGGGGAGCCTGATTTTCAAGGCGAGCTAACTCTCACTGGTTCAATTGGAGGCACCAAGTCTTGCCACGGACGCGCACTTATAAGGGCAATGTAATTTAAATCACAGAATGGGTTGGGTTGGAAGGGACCTTGAAGATCATCTAGTTCCAAATCAACTGTCCAAGACACAAAAACTATTCAATATCTTAGTTCCTCATCTGTAAGATGATGTATGATGAACAGCTCTCCTCCACATATACACAGGCACGACAAAAACAACCAAGTCCCTCACAAACATGAATTAAAAAGGGACCTGGGCTTTTAAGTGGCTTACTGATGTGCTGCAAGGTTTCTAGCCTCTCCCTTAACAAATATTATGGGATATAATGGCTGGAAATACGCATCCACATAAGTGTCCAACTAAGGGACCAATTAAATATTTGTGTGTCTGTTAAAGCTGAAAAAGACAAAGGGAAAAATTTACTGTTGTTTCTCTTGAAAGATGCATCTATCTACTACATAGTAACCCAGATAATGTAGTTGTTGCATTTAAAATAAAAAAAAAAAAAGGTACAACAACTAAACATTCACACAATATCAGGAATAACTTATTTGAAAATACTAATTTGGAAGCCAAACTCCCTTCCACAGCAGCACTAGAAATGAACTACCGTTCAAACATGCAAGCTTGGTTTTGAGGTTTATTTACTGTTACATTTAATAGCTATTCACCTTAATAAGCCACATTTATTGATCCTATGTTCCATTTGCCCATTCCACCAAATAATGTAAAGAAGCAGAATTAAAAAAATAAACATCAGGCAAGTACTAATTTAGAACGTGGCAAATATTTGTTTTGGGATACCTGCTATGAAATACAACCCTTGCAAGGTGGAAGATATTTATGAAGTCCAATGGCTTTGCCGTTTGGCTTTTCCTGTAAGGCTCACATTAGAAGAAGCGAGAGAAAGTTTTCAAACTGAAAAATAAAACTGTCTGCAATTCTACATGAAAGAAAACAATTAAATTTTACTTTCAAGATCAATTATTCTAGAAGGTAGCTTTTAAACATCAGTATTTAACAGTGAAATATGCACATGCATTTCCAATCTCATAACTCCTATAAAAATACAGGCTTCAACTTCACAGGATCTGCACACTGAAATATTTGTACCAATGGCTTCCTGCATTTCAGAGAAAAAATAATGGTTATTTTCATTAAAACTTAAAATATTGGAATGTTTCAGTAATAAAAACAAATTCCAAAATACATTTTACATATAGGTAAAAAAATAAATGGAATTTTAACACATATTAGAAAGTACATCTTAGCAATCCATTCCTGTCCTTAAAACAGGTCTTTTTAGAGTATGCATATGAGACCCAGCCCTCCCAACTTCCCAGCCTCTTGTCTGCAGAGAGAAGACCAACTGAGCAAAGATTTACCGTAAGCTTTTCTTCACAGCCAAGGGGGATGGGGGGTGGGGGTGGTAGAAAAAGAAAAAAAAAGAAACCCACGCTACAATCTACCACTTCAAACGCCACGGACACCTCTAAGTCTTCAAAACTACTCCTACCTTAAGAATTATCCCAGAAAACTATTTAAAAATAGTAACAATTCTACAGTAGGATGCCAAGAGCAGAATGCATAATACGGCAGGTATCAATGAAAGAAGCCGATTTTTTTTCCCCACAGCCCTAAATACAGGGAAAAGGGTTAGACCTTTGAGAAACAGAATCACAGATCCTCAGCAAAAAGGCATTACTGACGCTTCAAATGACTTTTCTGCCCAACGCTCGTATCATTAGGGGGCTTTTCTCCAGTCTGCCCATCCCACCACAGCCTAACAGAACCCCGATGGGCAGGACCGATGGCAGGGAACTTCCCAGGCACACACCTGCACTGTACTGCAGATGCTACGAAACCTCCTGGGGCACAATCTACACCGATTTTTTTATAGAGGAACTTGGAGATCAAAAAGCTCAAATAATTACCTAATAATGGCAGCTCTGTGAACAAGAGAGATAAGAATTATGGCATCTCATTTCCCATCACAGCAGGTACATAATGAGTAATCATTGTATAAAATGTTTGGAAGAACATTAACTTATTTGCATTTCTTTTAACCTTAACTCATCCCATGTGCTTGAAGCCTAACAACCATGAGAGTGCGAAGGGTTTTCTATTATTCAAGTCCAGGGGAAAAGTGAGTCATCTCCACTGTCCCACTTAGCTGGCAGCAGTCACCATTTGATACGGTGTCACATACCCTATTCAGGATTCAAAGTTTCTCCCACATTCATTAAATAAATCTATTTTTATATAAAGTATAAAGCTGCACAATATTTTAATCATTCAATTTGCATTTAAATTTTTTGCATTATTAGATTTTTCTTAAAGCATATAATGTCAGATAATGGCAAGGTTACTTTGCTTAGAGTCAAGCTTGGAATTGCAGAGGCAAGCTGAACTCTAAGAAAATGGCAGCCTAGGAGCAATGAGAAAATTCATTTGCAGATTGATGAGTAGAGCTTGTTACTTTTGTTGAAATAGCATTGTTTGGTTTAATAAATAAAAATATTTAAAAATCCTATTAAGCCACTATCTAAAGAAAAAAATTATCTCACAGATGTACCAAAAGATCAATGTCTCGAGAAACAAACAAATCAAATCAATACATTAAAACACATTTCCACAATATTTTAAACAAACAGTTTAGTTATACATTACTTATACCTTTCCAAACTGCAGCATGCCATAAAATTTCAAGTCAAGGATATAATGAAAGAGCTGTATTTTGCTTGGCTCAGTAGTGGATCAAGGAAGAGCTGAAAAGTGTTACGACAATTTTCACGTTCTGTTGACTATCAAATTCAGCATTCAAATTCCCTTTTACACAGATTAAGGAGGAAAGATTTCAGTATATGTAATGTTTCTACAGCTTCATATCAAAACAAGCAAAACATCTGAAAAGCCTGAAATCTATCCATGGCACTGTAACACATGTACCCATCTTAAAAGAAACATATAAATAATTTAGGACCCAGGTGACTTTCAAATTCAGATTAAACTTAATTTAGCAGCAGGCTCTTTTGCATTACCTGAGGGTATCCAAAAAGCATCTAACGTAGGGTAGATGATACAATTGATCCACATAAATAAAGCTGTGCGAACATCCATCTTCCATAGAAAAGAAAATGGTTATTCACCAGGTATCGACCACACGCACCTTCATTCACATCTAGCATTGGTTAATTCTGCGTTCATTAGAAATAACGTGTTTTGTCCTTTTAGCAAGTAATTAATCACTTGATAATATGAGAAGATAAAGTCACAAACAGAAAAGTAATGCAATTGCAAAAACACTGTTTTTAAATGCGATTTTTGCCAGCTTACCTTCATATGTTTCCAGAATGTGCACGGTGTCACCTATTTGTAAGGACAGTTCATCTGGTCCCCTCGCGTCATAGTTGTAGAGAGCTGGACAGAGGAAACACTGCTATTAGCACACCCAAGACAATGTAACTTCCAGGATTTTTATTTCTCCGCATAATTGGGTTTGTTACTTATTGTTGCCACTCTCCACCTTTTTGTAAAGGATTTTCTAAAAAAAATTTGAAAAAATTTGGCCAAGTCCTTTAATCCATTAATAATTGCCCTTGTAACAAATCTCAAAACCCCACAAGTCCACTCTCTAAAGACAGTCCCTCACTCCATTTATAATGCTTTGCTTCTTCATACATTCAATTAATTTTCGTTGTACTTGCCTGTCATCCAGCACTTTGCATCAACTTTATGCAGATCTGTAACGAACTGCACTGTCTTCCACTGTCAGCTCAACACACAGAACTTACACAGTGTCTTTAGAAAACTCCAATTACCACCGTTAATATTAAAGAATGATTTCTCAGTCACTTCATTAACTTACTGCAGGCATGCTATGTTTCAAAACAATATGATTTCAGAATTCCTGAGTGCCAGAGGTAACAGCATCAACCCACTGCATTCTTGGGTGAGACTAGTCCTATCCCTCATTTTATAGTATTATGATCAAGTTATCACTCTTTACTCATCAGCAAGCCCTGACAGCATTCACAACTTGCAAATTTATTAAATACATTTGTTTTCACAAATATTTCCGAGTGGCTCGGCTCACAAGCTGGGTAAGGAATGACAACAAAGTCCAAAACAATTCATTTTCCAGTGCTCAATTCAGAAAAAGCCTGGAGTTATACCGCCTAGGACCATAAGCACCAAGAGGCACACCACCACGACCGGTGTCACTACTGAAGACCTAACGCAGGACAGAAAAGATTCTGGACTGAGGAAAATCCTCAGATTTGTTTAGATGCACCTCAATAGCTCCTGCCTCACGGCCACCGACCCGCAGGCTGCCCACGCTCAGCCAGACTTCACTCCTGGCCAGGGAGCAGCTTTGGAGAAGACAGAAACTGGCTTGCTCTGGAAAAAAACAAACAAACAAACAAACAACAAAAACCACCCCAAACAGTAGCCAGCTATACGCTACCAGAGATAATTCAAATGAGAAAGATGCATTACCCTGCTCACCAATGTAATGACATCATAACCAATAAACAGAAAACACAGGGGATTTTTGGTTTTTAAAGAACTGACTGATAAGAAAACAAAATTTAGAACTCTCATCTTCAGAGGATATTAAACTACAACAAAAGAAGTAATTCAAAGACCACTCCTCCCTACCCTTCCCAAAAGAAAATCTGGCAACTGTGAGCACTAAGATTAGGGATGTCCAGAAGAACACAAGAAATTTATTTGATAGATACACTGCAGACAAGGTTTAGTTGGGAAAAAGTATTAAAAATCTGAAGAATAAAACAGTTATGACTCCTAAAGCTACATTTTTACCTTTCCTATGGAGCAAACTCTCTGGAAGAACCAAAATCCTCTGATATCAAGTAGTGTCCTAGTGACTGAAGGCAGTGACTCCAGTATTTCACAAGCCTGAAGTTAGTGAGCTGTACTCAAGATGGACCCACAAAGGTTTCTGCACAGTTCTGCAACTGCAGTTACTCCCTCCAGTGAGGTGACCCAGTTTAAAGGCGTTCTATACACTATTCTCAACAGCTAATGAAATGGCCAAAGTAGTCTTCCTCCTTCACCGTTAGGTGCTATGTACTCCTCATCTTCACGTTTCCAGTAAAGGGTTGCGCTGTTTTGAGCACAGACCTCCTCTTCACGGTGACAGCTTCCAGAATGCAGTGTCAAAGGACGGCTTTTTTAAAATAGCTGAGAATTAGAATTTCTTGCTATTTGTCATAACTCTTGGGGAGTGAAAGCATTTTTGGAGTACCAGTTACCTCAAAGCTCTCCCTACCAGCTCTCAGATAACCACTTGCTTTTCTTCCTGCATTAGTTTCCAGGGACAGAGTTGGTGTGCAGCATTGGTCAGAAGTGCTCAGCGGGACTCCCAGATATTATCATCATTATTATTATTGGAACAGAAAGACTCAGATAAGTTACATGTAACTCCCCTTCTCGTAGGAAAACTTCACAGATGTTCAGACCAAGAGTGCACAGGACAAACAACATGTGTCACGCTCATCACAGGTCATAGAGCACTTCCAAAAAAACTTAAAATATAAAACCTACAGCAAAAGGCCAAAAGCCCCAGTTATAAAGGCAATGAGACATCAGACCCAGGAAGCACCCTCACCTACCTGCCCAACTTTCTGCGATTCCCAAGAGGTCCTAAGAAGCAGACTGGAGCCCAAATTACACGGAAGATCAACAACATAACTTACATCAGTAGGAACCAGTAAGTGGACAAAATCACTTTCTTGATCTCAAATCTGCTAATCGGTTTACCCCCCCAAGAGCGCAAGCAGCAAACATCCAAGCGGGCATGTGAGAAGGTCTAATCCCACCACGAGGACAGGGCACGGTGCCCGGCACTGCCTCCAACCGTGGCCACGACTTCGTTTTCAACCTCCAGGAGTTAGTATTTATTCTCCCCAGAATGCATCGCATTCCAGCTTACAATGCCAACAACAACAACAACAAATACACGAAGGGCGGCCTTGGTCCTTTTCTCTGTGGTACCCCTCCTGCTTGACAGGCAACAGGCTTTAGAATTAGGAAGTAAATAAATATATCTGAGTGAAAAAATGGAACAAAACAATATGAAAAAGCAATTTGGAAAAGAAAATATAGTATACAGTGTAAGACTATAAATAGAGGAGAGGACACTTCAGGGTAAAAAGCATAAAGGTCAAGTGCATCGCAGAGACGAATATCAACAGTATTTAAATGAAGGCTTTAGAAAGTAATATACTTTTATTGACATCAAAACATGCCAAGCTAGCTATTCCTGTTTTAATGTTTTTGTTAACTTTTTCATTATTAAAGAGAGATAAACCTTCCCTCCTAGGTATATGGAGCAGAATATTTCAAAGCTGTAATTGGTATTCTGCAGAAGAGGGTTCTGTGAAAAACACGTTAACAAAAATTAACATTTTGAACTGCTCGGAGTAGAGGGATGTTAACGATGGTGAATACACAGCACACGAGACACTATGCTCGATAACACTCATCAGAAACGTTTTCCGTTCAGTTTTTGCGCCTACCAGGGAAGACACGGTTACGCAGTCGATATTAACTCCTCCAAACTCGTGCGGTTGGAGTTCAACACCTAACTCCGTTCTTTGGGTCTTCAGTTAGATCTCTTGGACGCCCACAGCTGTCACTAGAGTCGAGAGGACCTCTGGGTGCTCAATACATCCAAAATTAATTCCAACTCACGGCTTCCACCTTCAGCACCCTGACAACCAATCTCGCTGCCTCGTACCAGACATCCCAATCAGGAAAAATTTGCATTATGACAGATTAAAAACAGTCCTGTACTCAATTCACACTTCAGCTAAGCATTTGTCAAACATTGAAACGGAATAACACTAAAGTTCAAAGGCAGCTATGAATAAAAGACATTAAAATTTATATCCAAGAGTGCTAACTGGTGTCTGTCACAAGGCAGGTCACATAACAGGAGCGTCGCTGTAATGACCAATTCTTTTGACGGAAGATGACAAACAGCCATCAAGTGGTAACTACTGCCCACGACAGCTCCCATTGACCTGAACTGAGTGAGGAGCAATGGCCATGGAGGAAAGATTTATCTTTAACTATATATATGTGTGTGTGCGTGTGTGTGTATGTGTGTGTGAAAAATATGTCTATAAACATTAGAAAAAAAAAAAACCCTAAAACAATCACGTTTTGTGTTTGCTGCAGCATTGACATATCACAAAGCAAACAACCCAAATAACTATAAAGTGCATTCCACCCCTGTGATTACAAAACAAGACTTGAACTACAGTGCGTACTCCTATAAAAGCTAGCAGATAACTCCCTCTCAGGGTAATTTTTTTATCCAGAGTGACATCAAAAGATATTATGACAGATAAAATGTTTGATGGGAGCAAACAACAAGGCTTTAATTAAAGGAAAAGACAAAATTTGGAGGAATAAAGCATGCAACTGGTATGCTTATATTTTGTCTGATCAACTGTATTCTGAGTCGTCACTTAAAATAAGCCTGCAGTGTAAATTCCAATTTTTTTATTTTTTATTTTTTTTTACTGAAATAAGTTTAGCTTAATTTGGAAAGTCCAGTTCTCAGCGTGACAGATATTTAGCTTGGAGAGCTCTAAGCTAAATGAAGCATCAGGAGCATTCACACCAGCTAACGCTAGGCCTCCCCATTGCGCCTGAATTGCGAATCAAGGCTGACTGTTTTGGCAGAGGAATTATGCAGCCTTGTAAGTTAGAAAAAAATCTTTGCTATACAATTCGCAGGCACGATAAGGAGCATGGTTACCTAAGCATCAAAAGATTTATAACTAAGACCTAGCCAGTGCAAGTTAACCTCATGGTTAATGCTCATACAGCATCCCGGTGCTCTTCATCCATGCACCGAGGGTTTTTTTCCTCTCTAATAAACTTCAGCTGAAGAGGCACAGCTAAGCTGCTCTACTGCAACCGAATACCCTCATCCCTTATCATTTGCAGAATGCCATTTACAATGCATTTTCTCCTTAAGGGATACATCTGCGATAGAGATGACTCAAGAGACCGTGTAGAAGAGATACCAAAGTCACTGCAGCTCGGGAAAGAAGCTGTTTTCTGAGCCCTTCCACCGAAGGAACACAGGAGTCAGCTCAGGCACTCCCAACCTCGCGCCACTTCCCTCACCTTGGGCTATAGGCTGCACTATAGATGAAGCGTCAGGTTCATACAGCCCAATATAAGGCAATCAGCTCTAAGTGAGCAAGGGAGTCACCTGTAAAGTCTACTATATTTGCAAATATAGTGTCACACCTGGACACCCATGTTACAGGAACACTTGCATTGGCATCCAAAGCGACCATTTCAGGGATGGTATTACACGTAACCTGCTTATCACAACTGAAAGTAAACTAAATGTCTTCATGATCAGGAAAGCA